ATCAAGACTCACAATCCAGTATTCCCAAAGTATTTTTCCCTAGTTCATGTGCATGCATGTGTGTCTATACACCCATGTGCATGCTACTGAACCAGGAAAAAGAGGGGCAAATGAAGAATTTGCACTCAGCGCAAGGAAACAGGTGTGCTGAACTGCAATCACAGGGAAAAGGACACTTGGCTGTCAAACTTTTCTCTAATAATCCATTTCATTGGAAAATCTGAATAAAAAAGGTGCAAGGATTATAATTCCAGGGTTGATGTACCTGTCCTTACAGTGTGGGGGAGATTTTAGCTTTGAGCAAAGGTGGGGTAGAGGAGGCAGGAGAATGGGGCATTGTACAGAAAGTATGGATAGAAAACGGCTTTTCTCTCTTCATTGTAATGTTAGAGATTGGAGTCGGCCATGGGGAGTGGGGAGATTCAGAACAGATAACAGGAAGGATCTAGCATCATGATCTGTTAAATTGGAATTTACAGCCAGCAGAGGTGGGTGACGGCTGCCAGTGGAAACCGTTCAAAAGGGAATGGCTTAGCTGAGTGACTTTGGTTGATCTCAAAATGCTAAGCAGTCCTGGTTCATGTTTGGATGGGAGACCACTAGGAAACCCTAGGGCTATGCCTTAGGAAAATTGAGTGGGGGGGATTATAGAAGGCAGCAAAGGCAAACCACATCCATTCTGTTGCCAAGAAAACTGCAAGGGGCTGTCCACAAAATAGCCAGGGGAAAAAAAGTTACTTTTTTTTAAAAAGGAGTGTGGCAAAATCAGGATGGATCCTAGTAGTAGTTTGCTCCTGCTATCTTCCAGGCTGTTTTTAAAACTTTCCAATCTACCCTCCAGACATGAGATTTCCTGGTGGTTCCCTATCCAAGTACTAACCAGCATGGCTTTTTGACAGGAAATGTTCCTGAAAGAACCCCAGAACCCCAAATGCCTTCTCTCCCCCAAGTCTATCAGGCTACTCTGTACAATAAATTTGGGAGCTCTAAAATTAGCATCTCCTTCCCATTTTCCAGCTGGGTCCCTTGGCAGAAATGCCTTCGTGGGTAGGACAAATGGGCGGGCCTATTTCCTGCACAAAAGAAACGGACCCACATCGGATGGAGAAAATTTCTATCTCTAATAACACTTTGCCTAAATTTGTGCAATATACAATCCAAGGTTAGGAGAACCAGAGGTTTTTGAGTTAATCTAATTAATTGCTGAGGTTTTCACATTGTTCTGAAACATAAACTAGTCGAGTAAATGGTAAAAAGGAAGGCAGGCAGGCAGGCAGGCAGGCAGGCATTAAAATTAAGAGAAAAGGTAAAGATGCATAACAGATCTGAATGAAGGTGATCTGATCTCATGGAGTTGAACAGATGCAGGAAAGTGGAAAGGCAGAATTAATTATGAATGGAATTATTAAACTGTATGTCAGAATGTATGAATCTGTGTCATTTAAATTTCTGTGGGAATATGAAAGCAGGAGTCAACGGGTTGTTGATAATGCATGTTACGTTTAAGTGAATGGTGATAATCGAAGAATCAGCCAAGGGCCACTGAGAGGTCTTTGGGCAAGACCTGATGAGAAAAGCCATCCGTGTGAGCGCTCAGCCCCTGACTGTCAGAAAGCAGGTTCTATCAGGCCAAGATTCAGCACCCAAACTCAACTGCAGTCACGCCACTCAACCACTGACATTACTCAGCCAGAAGCCAGCAAGAGCGCAAATCCTTGCTAATTTGCAAAGTGCATTCTTCCTCGTCGAATGTCTGTTAGGAAATTCTCTTAGGCTGCTGTAGACAAAAGGTGGGGTTTTCCCAGCCCTGCGGAATTCCTATCAATGTATACGGAGTTCCTTTCCGAACAGTAAACCAGCACGCTGAGTACATAAAATGAAGCAAAGACGCCTCTGAGTTGAGCCAGACCTTGGCCAGGCATTTTTCATTGCAGCTACATGGAAGAGGTCCTTCTCCCAGGATGTTTGCCTTCCTTGTTTAGTCTAGAGCCTTAGGGTTTCCTGAGGAAGTCACTCATCCAAAAACAAACCAGGCCCAACCCTGCTTAGCTTCAGAACCTGGAGAAGGTTTGCCAGGTGAATATAATCTGGAAGTGAAGGGAGAACCCACAAGAGGGGATGCTGGGCTGAAAGACCCTGAGCCTCATCAGCAGGCTACCCAGCAGGCTTCTAGACGCATGGGTAGCACAACACAGAGCACAGCATGACCTCCTTGATTCCAAACTGAGGCATGAGTGCCACAGGGCTGCAGCCGAAACAGGACCTCTGAAAATGAAACAGGAGGCAAGTATAGCCCAAAGCCTGCAGAAGCAAAGCATTAAAATCCAGATTGGTCTACTGCTTTTTTCCTGCTGCAGAGCTCCCACGATCCCTTGGAGGGATGCATACAATTCCTTCCATACGGGTTTTGGAAAAGCTTGTTACCTACTGCAACCATTTCCTTTCTCCTGCTTTTCCCCAGCTGATGGACTGGAGCAAAGCTCCCGTAATTCCTAGCAGAGCTTTCCAACTTATTCCCACCACGGCCAAGAGAAGAAGCTCCTTTTAAAAGAAGCAACCGACTGTTAACTGGTTGGACTGATGGATGAATGTTGTGTTCGTGTGGCCCATGGTTTCTTCCACCAACTGGATCAATCTAGTAGCTCAATTTTCAGGATCTGCACAATTCACCAAAATAACACATAGGATGCAAGCCAGTTGTGAAATACACAAATGGTGATCACATGACCATGGGATACTACGACAGTCATAAATGCAAGGACTGGTCATAAAGTTACTTTTTCAGCACTGTTGTAACTTTGAACAGTTGTAACTTCGAACAGTCGCTAAACAAGGCGGACTGTAAGCGAGAACTACCTGTACTCTAGGCTGACAACAAAGCAGGGGTACTTAACACACCATTTTTATTTCTGCTTGAAAAGTGATCACAGCCAAATATTCAAACAAACTGATATCTGAAGAAAAATACCAGTCCAGCTGAGTTACAGGAAATGGGAAGGAGAGGCATCAGATTAGGAATGGATTCATTTTCCAGACTTGCTTCAAGTTTACATATACACAAAATATCTGATGCACTGAATTAATGAATTCCATGTCAAAACAGGAGAAATAAACCTCCAGGACTTCAGCTGAGAATAAGCATGGGGGGGGGGGGGGGGGGGGGACATGCTTTGCAAAAAGTCTATCCTACTTGCAGACAGTGTAGGAAATCCTGAACTCGCTGGAGGAAAGGAGTGATTAGACCCACAGGAGCTTCCTATGTTCCCAAGTCACTAGTCCTGTGGATACCAATGTTACTCTGACACCAATTCATTGATTTTAATAGAAACATCATTAATTGATTTTAAGGATACCAATTGCTGTTTCAACTCTTCTGGTTTTATTGTCATAGCTTACATTTTGTGTTTTCTTTTAATTATGACAAGGTGCCTCAAACATCTGCCAAAGTAACAGTGTAGTAGAAAGGTAATAATAAATGAATACATTTGAGCGAAAAAGGCTAATTCTGCTTGCACTGACCAACAGGGGAAATGTACAAGGTTCTCACCACAGGAAGCAGGAGGAAACACGCCAGGGGAATAGGTCTACTGAGGCTTAACACCAAGGTGAAAGAAAATTAACAGAGAACATTAACAGAGAAGCTCATTTATACTCATTTTATGCCGCTCCGATGGAGCACAACTTGGAGAGAATTGAAATGGCAGCTGTTTAACTTAGAGAAAATACTCCTTGCTTTACGCTCCATAAAAATACCAGGCCACTAAATCAGAACAGCCTCATGCAGCCGTGCCTGCGCTCCATGACGCGCCCCACACATCCCTGCCCTTCACCGCAAGAACAATCCTGCCCAGCTCAGAGGCTGCATCACACGGTCCACCCACTCCCGGTGTCTTTTCTACGCGTTTTCCCCTCTAATTTGAAAATCAAGTGGTTTGGATGAATCATTCCAAGTCGGGACCACATGAAGCAGGCACGAGCAAACCACAAGAAGGACTGAAATCAAAAAAAAAGGGGGGGGAAAGGCTTATTTTTATTCTGGACAGATTTGATTTCCCCAAAGCTTCGTGGCTATTTTACAAGCGTGGTGGGAAAAAGGACATTTCTGCATCTTTGCAGCTTCCCTCTTTTCCATTCCTCCAAGAAGTGGGAAGGAGAAGGAGGCATTCCTGTTATTATCAAGCAGCTTTCCCCAAACGGGCACCCTCAATAGGTGCAGGACTACAACTCCCATCATTCACAGGCTGGTTGGGGAGACGGGGAATCAGAGTCTAGAATATCTACAGAGGGCCAGCTTGGGGAAAACTGCTAATAATAACTTTCATGCTCCCATGTTCAAAGCTGAGAATGAGGTGCTCTGGAGGGAACCAGAGCACATGCATGCGTGCTCACACACACACACACACACACACACACAATCCCACTAGCCTAGTAGCAAACAGTAATGGATCTATTTTTTTAATACTACTATTCTGCCTACTTTTTTCAAATGCAGGGAGGTGAGAAAAACCTAACAAAGGATCCTAAGATACAATGAGATTGTCCAGGCAGCCCTTAAAATAATCTCCAATAGCTGATTTAATTAAGTCCACAACCTACTGCACACTCATTCCTCCTGGGAAGGAGGGAATACAATCCCGCTTACCCTTAGAAGATACCTTCCCCAGTAGATCATCTCGGAGCTCCCGCTCTGCAGTAAGCTCTAATCAGACCTGTCCTAATTAGATCCCCAAATCTACTGAGAAAAAGCGGAGTTATCCTTAATCCACTCTTCAGTCGTGGGGTGTGCAAGACAAGGGCCCGATTAGATCCGCTCTCCAGAGGATGTGTTTTCAATCTGATTGTGCGGTCTAGAACCCATCCACCTTCAGATCACTTAGGTCTCTCCCTTTGCTGAGATACTTGGTTCGCGTCCCTCTTCTAAATAAGTCTGCCTTTGTTACCCCCCCCCCCCGGCCTTTGAAGCCTTTTCTTAAGCCACCCCTTCCACCGAAATCCATTACCCAGAGCTTGTCCTGTTTCCACGAAGGATCACAGCTTGACCTTCCGCACAGAATCTGCTCTCCCAGCCGAGCGTTCACATCCCTTCCTCGTTTCAGTTGGCAGATGGAGAAGGCAGGCGGAGAAATCCAGAGGCAGACACACAAAAGAAAGTCAGTTTCAAGGGAGTGGGGGGGGAGACTCCCTTTTTTCTCCCCCCCTTTTTTCCCCGGGATGGTTACAGCAGCCACGTTCTGCAAGCTGCAGCATCAACGCGCAGCAGACGACGCTCCCTGCGATCTTCTGGAGAGGCCGTGAAAGGATCAAGTCACTCCGTCTTTCCAAGCGGTGTGGAAAAAGGAAGCATCTTCTCTCAGTTCCGGCTTCTCTGAAAGAAGACTGTCTGTTGGGTGAGAAGGCGCAGAACGGCATACAAAAGCTGGAAGGGCTGGGCCCCCGGATGCTTTGGCGCACAGGAATCCCCGCAAGACCGCTTTCCCATTCATTCAAAGAGAAAGGGAGTGGTTTTGGGGAAGGTGGGTGAGCAACACAGGGCTCGCTCGGAGACACGGTTCTCTCGCGGAAGCAGAAGAGGGTCATCAACAGGATGGCGAGGCGGTGGAGGCAGCGATGCAAAAAACACATCCCCTTCCCAAGGAATAAAGCCACATGCATTCGGAGGGAGATCCGACTGCGCGTATTTTAACAAGCGCGCACATTTTTTTTTAAAAGCGCCTGCTACCTGCATCAAGTCAAGACCTGCTCTTTTACAAATTCGAAAGACAGCCTGCCAAATAACGTTGGTAGAAAGGAATCATTGTCCGTACAAGCAGAAGCTTGCCTATGCAAAATTAATTAATTAATTAATTAATTAATTGATAATAATAATGATCCCCACTCTGAAAGAGGCTAAAAGTTTCTGAAGTTCTCATTTATTTCCTGGCTGCCAAATGAGTGTTGCTGATTGTAATTTTCTCCTCCAAAAAGGTCAGAGCAGAAGCTAAAGTTTCCTACTTTCCCTCCTCCGCTCTTTAGCTTCACAACAACCCTGTGAGGTGGGTTAAGCTGAGGAGCAATGGCTGATCTAACGTTCAGCATGAGCTGAAGGAGGATTCAAATACGCAACTCACTGCTTGCAAACCCCACCAGGCACATCCTCAAGTCAACCCTAACCCCCATGGCAGTGATCAGAAATGACAGAAATTATAGACACGGGGAGGACTTCTGATCGACAAAGGACATTTCAAGGGAAAGCATTCCTTGAACAATACTTTGACACCTACCGGCAAGCTTCTCAGGGATTTGCAAACCTGGGTGCCCAGAATCAACTCCCAGAATCCCTCAGCCAGCAGAGAATTCTGGGAGGCAAACGCCATACTTCTGGAAATTGCTCCAGCTGGGAAACGCTGCAAAACCGTGGCTGTTTCCAGACATCACAGCGAGCCATTGTTGTCCTGGATAACTTCCATTTTTAATTTTCACCCAAGAATGCAGTTTATCCAAGGATGTGGTCAGAAAAACAAAAAACAGCTTTAGTGATATGAAATCCCAAATGTCTTTCTGTACCTCTCTGAATCATTTCCACCTAGCTTCCCTTGGCGTCCTCATCGCTCTACTGCGGCTCCAGTCCTCAGCCATCAAAAAGTGGCCCATTTTGTCTTGCTGTAACAGCAAAATCAAGCGATCCCTATTCATGCAATCAGAGCACGAATCACAACACAGGCCTGTAAGTAAATATCCCAACCACTGTTAAGCCCAGCGCAGTTAATGTCTCTTTTCTTAGAAACAAATCCCACTAGGATTTGAACAACTCTTCCCTAAGTCTAGGAAAGCGATTGGCTTAAGCCTCATAAATTAGGCTGAAATGCACTCATAATTAGTTAATTCTTTGTCGGAGGCTTCCATTTTTTTACATCAGTTTAAAAACCGTAGTTGGTCTGGACTTAGAAATTAAGCAAGGTAGGGCCTGGTTAGTATTGGACGGGGCTCCATCAGAAAATCCCAGAGCCGTAGGCTAGATCGGGGAGATGGAAAAAGCAACATGGCTGTAATAAATGATTTGAGTATCAGAAAGTGCCAGCGACATACCACTTCCTTATGGCCGTGGTGCCCTTGAAGGAGACTTTAAATGTTCTAGCGAAGCAGCGACGTGGCTAAATTTAATTGCATTCAGCTAGTGTAGTTACTCTGCCCTTTACTCAGAGATGTTTAATATTTTCCTGTTTCCTATTGCTTAATATTTTCTTGTGTACAAACTTGGGGTGAGGCAGCTACATAATACAAGGAAATGGGTTTTGTCTAGCTTACTTGCTATTGGGTCATTGTAGTACCTGGCCAATCTTGACTGAATTAAAAAAAGCAGAATCGGATAAGTGAGACCTTGGACAGGAGACCACTAGGACATTCCAAAGCTTAGGTTAAATGAGGAAGTTGTAAAGTCATCTTGGAAGAAGGCATAGCAAACCGTGAAGAAAACTGCACGGATATATCCGTGCAGTTATAGAGCTGGGTGGGCCCTGAGGGTAATTTTACTACTTGTTATTCTTCGATGTTCTATTTTAATTGCTCCTGGCATTACATTAGTAGGCATAGAGTTTAAAAAGTACTGGAAAAGAGGTTTCTGCCCATAGAATTTACAGTCTAAAACTCTGCACAGGTGAAATCGAAGAATGGGGAATTGACACAGGGATAAATAAGATGATTTCAACTGTGATGATTTCAATGTGATGATTTCAGTTTCTTGTGCCCTGGTTATAGACATTAAACCAAGGTATATCTACACTGGCCAAAGGTTTCACGGAGAAATTGTGCAGAACTGTATCAGCAATGTACCTCCCAGGCCGACCAAAAGCCCAAGTAGGACTCAGAAATATCATCATCGAATTAACTCAGGGTCTCCCTGAGTTTCATTCACGGGTTCAAAAGCACTGCCCAGAGATGCAGAATATTCACGAAGAACGTGGCACGTTGAGTGCACAGAGGAGAAGTTTCCCTTCTTCCTAATTCCAGATGGGGAGAGGAATAAAAAAGGTCAGTATCTAACCTCTTTATTTTAGAAGGACATCCATGCAACCGCCTCCAACTGTGCGAAGTAGGGCTTGGTTTTTATTAGTTTCTTGTTCTTAGCAAAATGTTTGTTTTGCAGAGCCTTCCATATTTTTAAAAATATTATATTCCCCTTTATCAACTTTGCTAGAATCTTTGCCCGATGATAGGAGAGAGCCTATTTACTGCACAGTTCTCTTCCTTGAAACACACACAATGACCATAAATGGATGAATAACACAAAGATCTCACGCCCTTTCCTTTCCCCTCATTTTTCAGAGTCATTTTAAAACCTATTTAACCTGGAGCTGGAGTAAGCAGGTGACTGATGAGAGCAGAGTCCTTTGATAATAATAATAAAAAAAAGGATAGGTCCACACTTTGAGCAATGCTGGGTGATGAATCTAGCTGCCCTATCCCTTTCCCACAATGCCACTGGCACAGCAACACCACAGGGCATTATGGGAAATCAAAATGGCAATTAAATTCAGATGCTCTAGTGCTGCTGGCTGGGTGCTGTTCAATGCGGTACAGGATGCCAACACCCAATAAGCTTGAAAGGACCTTCTGACAGAGGAGAAGCCCTAACATAGCGCACATATATACAGGTAGTCCTCAACTTACGACCGCAATAGAAACTGGAAAATTCATTGTTAAGCAGTGCGATCTTTAAGCATGTCATTACATGACTGCATCTAACTTTACATTTTTTGTGGCAGTTGTTAAGCAAATCATGTGGTTGTTAAGTGAATCACATGGCTCCCCATTGATTTTGCTTATCGGAAGCCAGCTGGGAAGGTCACAAATGGCGATCACCTGACCCTGGGATGCTGCAACCGTCATAAATACATGCCAGTCTCCAAGAACCCAAATTTTGATCACATAACCGGGGGGGGGGGGGGAGCTGTGACCAACCATCATAGGTGTGAGGACCCAGTTGCAAGTCACTTTTTTCAGTGCCATCATAACTTCAAATGGTCACTAAATGAATGGTCATAAGTTGAGGATTACCTGTATACAGGGATATAAATAGATAAATAAATAAGTTTTGGTAAGTGTAACAACCAGAAGATATCAAGTACAACCAAAACATAGCAGTACTAATAAAATCAGAGAAAAAATATATAGAATAATGAATGTACAATATGTTGTTTTGATACAATAATATTTATATAATATGCACAGATTCTTAATATTCTATTAGGTAGCTTCCTTAAAGAATTAAATGTAGATTTATGTATCTACATTTAATCAACACAGCACTTTAATAAACCCCTTCCAGCAGGGAGCCAGCAATGGCAATACAGTATTATGTCCTCCTCCTATTTGACAAAGGAGCTACGACCACGGTACAAAGAAACCACGGTGCTGTACCCTATCATTCAACTACATTGGGATTGCCATTAATGCTGGCTGGGGAATGCTGGGAGTTGCAGTTCCAGCACATCTGGAGGGCACCAGGTTGGAAAACGTAGCTATGTTCAGTTATAGGACTGTACTACAGTAAGCTCGTTCCTAGCCGTTCCTCGGACACTATGCACCTTCTTTTCCATTGTTCTCCACAACACACCATTTCTGAGCATTTCTTCTTTATATCCAGAGTCTTGACCATTATCAATCAATCAATCAATCAATCAATCTTATTTCGGTCATAGACCAGCATATGGACCATTATCATTTTCAGCTGCCAGGAATCAAAAAGCGGGAGCAGGGGAGCCATATCTGTCCTGCGTGCAGAAACAGGCTCTTGCTTGCTGGACAGCTCTTCTCCTTGCACAAGACTCTTACGTAAAAAGGGAAAAATCAACCCATCCACCAAACTCTAAGACGCGTCTACAAGTTGCACAACTGCTCTTCCAGGCCTGTGGAGATTATGATGAGCTACAGCAATAAAACAAAGCCAAAATCCTGTCCTAAGGTAAGCAGAATTCTGTTACCTGCATAATTCATGCGATTCTGGGCATGCCTTCATCTGCTGCACGGCTGATGATGCTTCTGCAAATGGTAGGGAAGAACAAGGGGCTGTGCAAAGCAGGTGTCTTTTCTCCAGAAAAACTTGAACCAAGAGCAGAAAGGATTAAATAGGACAGCTAACCTCAAGTTTACTTTTCCAACAGGAAGGAAGGAAGGAAGGAAGGAAGGAAGGAAGGAAGGAATCTTCCCATCTACCTATCTCAAGGTACTAAATTAATGCTCAAATATTTCTTACTATGTGTGCCCCTCCTTGGACACTCCCATATTGCAATTTGGGGGGGGGCGCCTTCGAGTCAGTCTTGACCCTGGGCGACTTCCTGGTCTAGTCCCTGCAGATTTCTTGGCAAGTTTTTTCTGAAGTGGTTTGCCACTTCCTCCTTCCTA